TCTCTAAGGCCCTGAATGTGCAAGGAGACTGGTGAGAGAGGACTACATTGAGTAGTCATAGTATCCTGGCTCTAAGCTTCAACAACTGAGATGGAGAAACACAGCAGACAACAACTATTGCCCTAGTTGGTCACCAGTCAATGAGAAAATCCATTTTAAAGAAATTCAGATTAAGGCTTGACTAGGGTTTGCTTAAAGGCACATGGGAAACTCCATGGTGAAGTGGAAGAAAGTTCTTAGGTCTGATGAGACCAAAATGATGAAATGCACTACCACCTTTCACCCACTGTGAAACGTGGTGGTGGCGTTAATATGCTTTGGGGATGGTTCTCAGCAGAAGGCACTGATAGAGTTGGAACAGTTTAAGAAGAATAGAGTAAAATTACAAACAGAGAAAAAACAAATGCAAATATAGAAGAAACTGAATGCATGAATAACTTAAAAATTAACCATGGAATGAACTAATATGGCATCCTCTTAATAGAAATGGAAAAATAAACTAAATAAAATACCCCTCAAAATTATCAAAACAAACAAGAACCAAAACTCAAGAAAAGTGACAAGAAAGTTGGTTTTGCTAAAATATATTAATCTTGTCTTTGGGTCCCTTTTCAACATAGAAGACCTCACCTGAACAGCATTTGTTTCAGTTGTCTGGTTACCATGGCAACAAGTGGGGGTCGCCCAGTGTTCAGCATGTGCAGCTCCACATTAGATGCCATCATCTGTGTGGCCATCTCTGCATCTGCAGCCACACCAGCTCCGCAGCAGCTGCAGAATGTAGAAGATAGTGAAGCAACTGAAATTGTGAAGCTAATTGCTTAAAGGGCACATGGAAAATTGAGACATGTGATTGAAACACTTTTTTTGTTTCAATTACTCTTTAGAGTAATTTAAGTTTTATGCAACTTAGAGAAAGGTGTAAGTTAAACAGTCAGAGGACTACAAAGAATTTTATACAATCTTTAAAGTTGTAGATTAATTATTAGGACAGAATGTGAATATTTATATATCTATTTTGATTATTCGTCCATAAATGCATGTGTGAGTGTGTTGGAGAAATTGTGATATTATTAATCAAAAACTCATTATTCTTGTGTATTTTTATATCTTTTTTTATGCTTTTGTAGATTAATATCATAATAGATTTAGGAATGTTTCTATTTTGTTAATTTGCTCTGATTCCTTTCTCAGAAGACCTCACTGACGGAAAGCAGAGGCAGTGTTTTCCTGCAGGGTTCTCTCTTGACCAGGAGCTCTGCTTCGTTGAGTTGCGGGACGGCAATAAAACCGTCAATGTGAAGATTCACAACATATTCTGTCAAACTTTGTGCCTGGAACGAGATTATCTAGTGCAGGACAATTTGTGTCTTAGTTAGTGAATGACATTTAGCACTGTAGCTATGTGATGAGTTGTTTTCCCCTCCCCTTCAGAGCTACAGCGTCCTTGTGATTAGGGATTCTGAAAACAATAAAAAGAGAGGAGCAGACAAATGTGTTTTCAGAGCGGTAGAAGATTGCAACTGAAAGCACATCTCTGTCTGTTCTCCTCGCGAGTAAGAAAGAATCTTTTGTGTTTCCTGTGTTTGTTTAATCTGTGTTTAATATGTGTTAAACCTGACAGAGTGTGTACTTAAAGTATTGTGTTTTTGAGGGTAAAGAATCAGGGCTAGATTGATGGTAGCACAGAAACAGAACCCAATGAAATGTCTGATTTAATCTCAATTCAGTTTCCTTTACCATCATGGCCATTTTCAGGTAATTTTGTGTGATATTATGTACAAAGTGAGTAGGTTTAATTCATTATATGGCTAGCAAATCATCTTGAATAATTATGTAAAATATTTGTAATGTAAAATATGTTCATATTATTTCCAACAAAAAGAAATCCTGTAACCTCAGTCAGAAAAGGGAAGAACAACTATATTCATCAGTTGTACTCACTAGATCTTTGGAGCGATGTAGTGAATCTTCATGCAGTTTTTGTCAGCCACCACCATGTCATCAGTAGCTCTGGTATCTGCTCCCAGAACCACTCCATCCTGAAACAACCAAGAAGAAACCCCACCTGACTGACGTGAAGGCTTACTTCTGAATAGTAAAGTCACATGTTGCCTCCAGGAATGTGGCTTTCATCAAACATTCATTTGACAAAAAACACCTTATCCAATCTGTCAAATTCTCTCTGGATTTTATTAGGTTTTGAAATATCGCTTTAAGTACACACAGCACAGCTCCAAAACAGGGGAGTTTACATCTAAATAGAACTCTCTTACCTTATAAACCATTCCAGCGATGGTGGTCCCTGTCTTTCTGGGATTAGGAGCTTTGTATGCCCCCTCTAACAAACTAGACTCCAAAACCGCATTCCTGGAAAAGATCAAGAAGTGCCCAGAAAAGCAGAGATGGTTATACTGGTGCAGTTCAGCTACCCTAGCCTTAACTTCCGGGAGTTTTCTTGTTATGAAAGGAAAAGAGCTTCTTTACCTGCGGCTGTTCTCGAACGAGAACCCTCCATTCTGCTGCTGATGGGGGTTCAAACTGTGAAGCATGTTCAGTAGGTTGTGAGATGAAGACTTAAAGCAAAGCTGTGGCTCACTGCAGGTCCGACTGACTCAGTGCTTTTTAGCAGTTTTTACTTTTACTTTCACTTGTTTAGGAAAGCCAAGCCTCCAAAGCACCACTGTAAAAAGAGAACTAAACTGAATGACTGTTTGTTCTTCCACGGCTGAAAAGAACTTTCAGCAGAGAGTTATGAAGACATTAGAACAAAGAAACAAATTCCATATATGTGGCTCTGATCATTGTCAAACAAAACAAAACAATTAATGAACCAGGAACTGCAAGAAAGTAAATACACTGCAATAGAATAATTACACCTTTTTACAGTGTATTTATTCCACATGACCTGGAAAGATGGAACCTGAGTCAGCCCACTCAGAATGTTATCAACCATATTGTAACTCTACAGATGGAGACAAAATAATAGATTCCTTCCTTTTCAATTCTTTTCATTGCCAGACATGAGATCTATAGGACTATTAACTTCACAGCTGTTGAATAATGGGTTCTTAATTTCACATGAGGATTGCATCACACCTTTGACAATAATAGTGATAGCGATAGATGACAAGCATCGTGAAAAGCAACTTCTCTTTTCCAATCAGTTCTGTTGGGAAATCCAAAACTGAAAAAAGACACCAGACTGTGAATAGTAAGAGAGAGTCTTTTCTTTTTACTCATTAGCTACATAATTCCTGTATTGACATAATCCATGTCAACACTAATATAGTTTTGTAAACTATATAGACATTTAGAGGAACCCCACTTACTGGATGATGTTAGCTCGATAATTTAGAGTAAAGATTTTTTTCATTTCAATGTTGATGCTGTGCTTGCATATGTGTTTATCTTTTCTTGCACTTCCAATCATATCTGTGACTTCAGAAATAAAAGTACATTCCTTTTATTTACACAAAAAAATTTCTGTTTTGAGAATTAGCAATTTTCAGCAAATTTTATAAGGTTACAACTGCAGCTCCATAAAGCAAAAGCAAAGCTTCTGAATTTGGTTCATGCATTATTCACATCAATCATTTTAAAAATCTGTGAAAGTTCTATTTTTAATTTGATTTTGTGTGTGTGTGTGTGTGTGTGTGTGTGTGTGTGTGTGTGTGTGTGCGTGCGTGGGTGTGTGTGTGGGGGTGTGTGTGCGTGTGTGTGTGTATACCATATTATAGCTTCCAGATGTAAGTTAAGTTTTCAGATTGAAGGATGATGCTGCAGCAGGTTTAAATTGAAGGCAACTGAATCTTCGCTTTGTCCCTGTCTTCCCTTGAAAGACGATGCAGAACGTAATCTAGAACAGATAATAATTTGAAGCATTCAGGGTTGAGACTTTGGCCTATTTTGTTTCTATGCTATTTGCATATTGTATGTACCTGTCTATAATAACAGGTTCGACATATAGAACCTGTTACCTTTTCAACATTGGCAAGGTAATGTTATGATATGGGGATCCATTGTTCCCCTATATCACATGTGTCAAACTCAAGGCCTGGGGGCCAAATCCGGCCCGCCATAGCTTTTTATGTGGCCCTCCACAGACTAGACTAAACATATGTGTTATTATCAATCACATCAATGCAGTTTTTATCTGTTTACTGCCAATTTATATCAAACAGTCCCTCCAGTTTCTTGAGAATTTAGATTATATATAGTCCATGATTTATACAACGAGTAAATAAAAAGTCTCATTTATTATTAGTTCCTGAAGGGACTGAAAAGATTATCAAAACTATTGTGTAATTTTAAGAATTTATTGACATATTAACAGTTTGTGAACAGGTTTTATCTGGCACAACCGGCCCTTTAAGAGCCTTCATGATCTTGATTTGGCCCAAAACGAAAATGAGTTTGACACACCTGCCCTATATGATGGAAATCATTATATGTATAATTTCCAGATTAAATGGAAATCATCATATGACATATGAGATTGTGATATTAACGGAAAGGAACATCAGATACCAAACCATCATAAAGATGATGGTTTTTTTTTTCTGTGAATTACCAGGATATTTAAAATATAAATATAAATTTAAAATATAAATCTGGTGATCTCCACTAGGCATTGAACATTCTTTGACAGTATCTTCTGTTAGTCAATCACTGTGAATAGATTATTTAAGTATTTTTTAACAGAGAACAAAATAAGAGTATATAGGCGTTTGTTTATTGATAGACCCTAGTGGTTATCATTATGAGATTCACACGCGGTTATCGCAGCCTTACAGGTCGGCTGGCTTTGACAGTGCTTGCGTACAGATAGATAAGCTAACTATACGATCGATTTGTAAATGTACATTAGATGGCAGTAATACATCATCCAGTTTTCTGCCCTGCAAGAACAGGAAGTTTACTAATTAACAGGATGTCCCGCCCTTGTTATTGCTTTTCGCCAACGTGATTGGTCGATCAGAAATTGAAGCGTTGTTTGAATTTGAAAGCTGCTGGATTGTGTGCTGCTGGCTGTGCAATTGAGAAACGGGAGTAGTATTCGTCGCTGGTATTTTGTCAACACATTTTACAAGGTAAGAACACGTTTTCAGCTTTAATGTGATGGTTTAGCCCTGATATGTTCATGCTGCCGACGGTGCACCACCCGTGTAACAACATCCTGATATTTCTTCCAGTCATTTATTCATCATATGGCTAAAAGATCATGTTTCGTAGCAAAGCATTGAGCAACATGCTGAGAAATGGAACCATCAAGACTAAAAACATGTTTCTGGGATCTAGAACTTTTTTGTGAACTGCTCGCTTCTGTCTGCAGTTCTAGAAGAGTTCTGCTCCCTGAATGTTGCCCACAGCTTATCTGCACATGGAAACCTGTAGAACTATGCTTCTTTGTCTCTTGGGCTTCCTCTTAGTTTAGACAGAAAACATGTTTATTCACTTAAAGGTAAATGCAAATGCATTCCATAATTTCTTTTTTTCCTGCTTGATATAAGAACAAAATGAAGTTGATGGTGCACTAGTGTTTGTCTGCATAGTCTTACTTGGAAAACACCAACCACTGCTACAACAATGGATAAAAGGTCATATAAAAATAATATATTATAACTGCTGATGCAAACATCACGCCGTGGTGCCAATGTTGAAAAGGTAACGGGTTCTGTATGTTGAACATGTTACATATAGACAAGTTATTCAGAGTAAAACTAAAACTCTATATGAATAAGTCTTAATTTAACACCTACATAGAACCTGTTACCTTGTTAGAATGAAATGAAATGTTATACTGGTTACTGTGATATTGAACTAACAATATAACTGCCAGCACATTTTTCTTTCTCGAGCCCTGCTGCTGCAGTTTTACTGAATGATTGTAGGCATAGCCAGTGACGTTTTAAAGCAGAACGTCTTTCTTTATGTCATCTAAAGATATTTATGTTCACACCGCTGGCATTACTCTACTCAACTTCACTTCTGAATGAAGTAGATGTAATGCAAACTTTACGCTTTATACAAACTCAAATTTTTGATGACAGTTCCAGAAGAGTTTTAATAAATAAATGATTTGAAGAAAGTGCCAGATAAAAGCATTAACTGGACTTCAACCTTTTCACATTTCCTGTCATTACAGCCTGAAAATATTTTTTACACTCCTCTCCCCTTACAAAAATCCCAGGATTTTAGAAACCTTGTCATGGATTACTGTTGAATCCATCATCTGAAAGCAAAGTACACACACAACTGCCAACCTACCAATACCTACTCTTGGTGTTATCAACCTTTTACAAGAGCTACTTTGAAAAGTGATTTTATGTCATTGCTACAAAATAACATTTCTCTAGATCCACAAAAATATTGTATACATTATGTGCTAAATTATTTTGAAAGCTAAGTAAATTGGACTTTGTTTTTATTTTCAGATTTCATAACAAAATTAGTCATCTTAACTTTTTAAAAAAAGTTTAAGAAAAGTTTATTTTGTAGAATGAGACCATCTGAAGGAGGTCTTCTCCTGTTCTGCCTTTCCCAGAGACCATGACTCGCCATAACCCTGCCAACCGCAGAAAGAGCAAGACCCCTGTCCACCGCCCTCCAATGCCAGCCCCTGAAACACCTCAGTCAGAAGTTGATTCCCCGAGGAGAAGTGGACCTTCATCTATATCGAGAAGTAAGTGAGAGAGAACTAGTGACTGGTGCAGAATACTTCGTCTGCTTTGTCCTTTGAACTCTTATGCCTTGCCCACTTGCCCACACATAGCCGACTATATAATAAATCAAATAGATTTTTGTAATTTTTTTTCTTTTCATCTAAATCACATAAAAATGTGGATATGTTACGTTCATAATGTATGTAACCTCTGTCTAATAGCGCTAAAAATAATAATAATAAAAACTCCAACCAAAGTGAAGATTTGAAAATTCTCGTTTTTTTTTTTTTTGTTGTTGGTTTTTTTTGTGTGGACATTAGAAACTGGAGATTTAGAAGTAAACGCATGACAGTCTGCACCAAATGATGCAGTCACCTATGTGCACTAAAGTCACATAGTTGATGACTGCTACGTGCTGATTTTTACATTTGTTCATACACTTTTTACTTGTTTTTTTTTTTATTATTATTTATTTTATATATGCCTGACTTCTCCAATATGTTGAGTTTCAAAGGAGAGAGCGTTTGAGCTTTCTCGTTTGGTGTAAAAACAGGCATAGCTAGTTTTACACCAGCTGTCTCTCCTAATCGAGGCACAATGCCATTCAACCTCCACCTGTTCATGTTTACCTACCACAATGGCTAGAAACCTGGAACAGAAACCAATACAGTAATGTAGTAATTTTGAATTAATTTTCCATAAGTACATTTTTGCAATTATGGAAATTAACTTTTACTTTTTTCAAATTTGGAAAATAAAATTTGATTTTGGTAAAATGATTGTCCAGTGCAGTGATTTTGTGTTCCAATAAGATTCTTAGAATGGATGGGAAGATGAAACTCTTTTAAGTTCTGAAAACTTCAGTACTTTCGCCAGGTTGCTAATGAAAGTACTAATAGTAAGTCTTAATTTTAACACTTATTTTTTCTGTGAATTACCAGGATATTTAAAATATAAATCTGGTGATCTCCACTAGGCATTGAACATTCTTTGACAGTATCTTCTGTTAGTCAATCACTGTGAATAGATTATTTAAGTATTTTTTTCTATCTGAAGTGTTTCACACATTAGTCTAAATGGCAAGAAGTAGCCCTGGCTTCAGAGTTCAGAGTGAACACAGCTTTAACTCTTTATACAAAGAGTCAGTTTTTTGTTTTTGTTTGTTGCTCTGGTGGTGACTTCCATCTATGACCTGCCTGTATTTGTGAAGAAATGCAGGATACTCTTAAATTTATTGAAACTAGCAGGATGATGAATATGAGAATTTAAAATTCAACTTCCAGATAAAGAACATTCTGCATTTTCTTCAGGTCAGACCCCGAAGAAGAGGAGGTTCAGACCAGGAACCAGGGCCCTGATGGAGATCCGGAAGTACCAGAAGAGCACTGACCTTCTCATTAGGAAGACTTCATTCGCCCGCCTGGTGAGTCACGAAAGCTTCAAGTCAAGCTATTTTCTTGTTGACGACTTTTTAAATGTGTAGGCCTCAAAAACAGGGCATTAGCCTGTTATTTTTCTCTTAGTCCAGACAGTGGGTTGGGCGACTGGAGATCAGACATATTACTCAACCACACTAAGCATCCTGTGTCACACTGTTTTACCTTGACTAAGTGTAAGCTATTCAACCAAAACCAGAACTAAACCCTGACGCAAATAAGATAGTAGAAAATCTCAACCAGGTCCTCAGAACACATGTGAGACATTTTGTGAAATAAAGTAACTCCAGAATCTTTAAAGGTGTCTGAAAAAAGTTCCCTTCACCTCTGGTGTTTCTTCCTGGCTCAGGTTCGGGAAGTGTGTCAAATATTTTCCATAACCTCTGTCCGGTGGCAGGTCTATGCGCTCATGGCTCTGCAGGAGGTAAGATGTCCATACCAACACACACAGACTCGAATAAAAATACCCTGTGTTGTCCTACAGTGGGAGCAAAGTAACAGGCACTCTAAGCATGTAGGTTCATTGAAATATAAAAATAAAATTAAAAATAACTTGCTGTCCAGTAAGGGAAAATTATAGCACAAAATAGTGTGCAGTTATTAAAAATAGCATGATTCAAAGGAATATGCAACAGAGTAATAGAATAAGAAATGTATTATATCCTCTTGCCCATTGACCGCTGGAAATGGGCACCAGCACCCCTGGTGACCCCAACAGGAATAAGTGTGTATAATAATGGATGGATGGAAGTATACAGAATGTCCATCAGTACAACAGTCAGGAGTCAAATCATTCATTTATACTCTGAACATCAGGTCTAAGACACTTCTTCTTTGTAATTGATTTTCTTGCATCTAAACTTAGTATTCCACATTGATATTTAGTTTTAACATTTACTGTTGGTGTTGTATGAACACAAAAAGATGCAGAGAAATTCTAGATATTACAGAGCATGGTAAACTTTCAACTAGTATTTAATCACTTGTGGCCTTTTTTCTCTCTGTGCTTCCAGGCTTCAGAGGCCTTTCTTGTCTTGCTATTGTCAGATGCCAACTTGTGTGCCATACACGCAAAGAGAGTCACAGTGTTCCCACGGGACATTCAGCTGGCCAGGAGAATCCGTGGGGTGGATCGCATGTAAAGTCCACACAACAGCTGAGAGAATCCCAGCAGCATTTGGATGCTAGTGGCTCGGTCCACATTTCCACATCTTTTCTGCTGTGTTGGTTCAGTGCCCAGTTAAAATGTTAAAATTGGTTTTTAATTGGCTTCTGAAAGCAAGACAGTTTCCAACCTGATTTTTTTTTTTTTAACAGTTGGAAAATGGGCACATTGTTTCTGTAAATACAACAGAGACTGTTAATAAATGTGTTTCTTGCAGCTTTAATTCAGCTATCATTCACTGTTTCAAAGGCATTTACTAAAAGTATAATGATGTGTACATTTTTATTGTTCATCAGAATAAACTTATTTCGTCTACAAAATGTTTTCTTTAACTTTTTGAGTGGATTTTCAATTTTCTGCTTGTCTCAGCCCTTTTAGAAACTGAAAGCGGCCTTGAGCTTCTCCAGTTTCCTTAGCACAGTCAATCTGACAGTTGTCCATTCAACACCATACTTTCACTAGTACCCAGCTGACTTATTCCACTGTGTCCACATTGCAAACCTGAGTAACGCTATCGTCAACGCTCGCCAGTAGCCTCACAATTCCTGATTCGCCACCGGGTGCTGTGTTTTCTTCAAAATCAAATGTAACTCATTTCAGATTCTTAAGAGTTATTATAGATGGAGATCCCCTTGTGAAAAATATATTAAGTATTCTAATCATTGATATTTCAAATTTAAGGATTATTTAACTTGAAGTATGTTTTTTTTTTGGAACAGCTAATTTGGTGCTTAATGTATGCTAATTGTAATTGTAAAAAAAATCACAATTTGAAGTGTACTGTCGCATGCTTTTGGGGAATAACTAAAAGTACAGTGAGTAGACTTAGTATACTAGTATAAGGCTTTTTTTGTCATGTGTTTTATGTTTTGAGGCATGAATAAACTATTTCTTTGTTAATCAACAATACAGTAAGTCCCACGGTAAGCATCGTTTATTTTTTATTTATTTCTTTGCTATTTCAACAAAATAGTAAGATTATTAAAGCACCTAATAAAGCAGACTTTGTTGGTGTGTATGTAAACATTGGAAATGTTTAATTGAAGTATACTTGGTCACAATTTATCAAGTAGTTACAAATATTATTGAAATGTTTTTTTTTTTTAGATTTATTAAGGTTTGCTAAATGCACACAGAACCTATTTGAAAACATTACCAAAAATACAACTTCATAAATGTATTGTTTGTATATATTTGTAATATGTTTATGAAATGTACATTTAAAATATACATTTTTGTAAATACATGCAAAGTGTTCTTTTGAAAAGGCTCTTGATAAATGAAGAATCTGCCTCCCATTCTACTTTAAGGAACCACCAGTAAACTTTCAGTTTGAGAGTTGTAGAACATATGGAACAATCAGATTTTGTATAATTTGAATATTGGGGCTTTATATTTAAGAAGAAAAAGTATGTGGAGTATTCTGTAGCTGACAGAGAATATGTTAAGAGAAGCTAAAACTAGTGAAATATTATATTTTATTCTCATCAGGACTCCAGCTGCTGTGTTTGAGATGTGCTGAAGGCTTTTGAACATTTTGTATTACGATTTACTGAAATTCAGCCTACAACCCTGTAATGTGTGGATTAATTTGTAACATTCAGGATAAACAGTTTCTTAAATGTACCTCAGTGAATAGAAAATTGAAAATTGTGGAGAAGAAATGTCCTATTCACTCCTACTGGATCTCCTAAGAAGCTTGTCATAACAAAGTTTTTTTTTAATATTCACCCATGGGGGGCAGTGAAGTCCACCAAACTTCCGGAAACCCAGAAGAAAACACTATTTAGGTTTGCGCATGCTCAGCAGCCTCTAGGAGAAGCAGTCTGTTTTCCTGGTGGGAGCATCGGAGCTCAGTGTCTTTAGTTTTTTGTTTGAGGGCAGAACTGTAACTACAGTAGGAATATAACCGAAAGATGTTTGTTACATAAGTACTCTGAGACAGAAGCGTGATGTTTTCAGCCAGCATGGAAACCAAAAGAGTGGAAATTCCCACCAGCGTACTAGACGATCTGTGCAGGTTGGAGACGGTTCACTGGCTCTTACTGTTTGCTACTCTAGTGCGGTCAAATGTTGTTACATGCTTTCCGTTTTGTATGGTGTGTTAGATTGGATTAATTTGCCCACTAAATCAGAGTGGGCATGTTTGCGTTCAGTGCGCAGCCATTATTGTTTCTGTCAGAAACTGCATGAAGTGCTGAGAACCACTGCTGGAGCCCGAAAGAAACTGCAAGGGTTTTCCTCCCCTCGGTTTCTGCATCCTCTGTTGAGTCCCCTTGACTTGCTCATTCAAACTGAGCCGGCGGGACAGGGCAGGGATTAAATAACATTCTCAACAGTAAAATTCCAAAGTGCGCTGCCGGACCTCAATGCTGCACAATCATTCAAGAAACAATGCCAATTTTTCTACAGAGTTTGGAAAATTAGAGTACGCAGAGAAAGTTAACGGAGTACTTCCATGTGACTCCATCCTCCTGTATTTACAATTCACTTCAGTTTATCAGTTTATCTGATAAAAGGCGGAAAAACAATTAAACTAAATAGTGTTGCAGTCCTTCAGTTGAACCAGGAGCCTCTTCTTTATCGCTGCCATCGAGCTTCTTCCTCCAAACTTCAGATAACTCAAATCTTCACTGAAATCCTCACAACTTCCTCCACGTAAATGTACTCATTCTAGTTGTTTACGATTTGCTGTACCCTGATTACTTTGTGTCCAGATGGCACTGGTTCTTTACTACAGACAAAAACAGAAATACTCTGGATTTACAATATTTTGTGATAAATATTTATTATTAATAGCTTTTGTATACACAGAATGAAAGTGCAGTAATTAAACTTTTAAATAATGTGAGTGTCTTTATTATGTCAGGGACACTTCAAGTCCTTGGCTCTGAAGCTGCGTAAGTGGCAGAACAAGATGGCCTCCACAACAGACTTCAGATCTGCAGCATTTAGCAGCACTGAAGGTCTAAAACTGCCAGACAAAGTATGGTTTCTGCAATCGGTGCAGCCCTAATTTCTATATTTAAAGAATTCCAGAAATTTCATCCATTTCAGTAAACATGTGATGACAATGGAGGAAACTGGCTCAGTATGGACAATTAAAATGACTCCTTAAGAACTGAAGCTTTTATATGCTTCTACATAATAAAGTTTCAGTGCCAGGAATATGAAGACATCTTTCCCAGCTGATGTCAACCACTGCTAATTGAGATGTTACATTATGATCCTGCTTGAAAGGAAGGCACATAAATAAACATAAACAAGTTTTTCATTTAAGATCTAGCGTCAGTATCTAAAGTGTGATCACAGGGATTGTTGAAATTTTGCAGAAGTCAAAAATGGTCTGAGGCTTCTGTTAGTTTGAATCTGGACAACAGTGGTATTTGATAATAAAAAATGCTTGGGAACCCTGATAGGATTTGTTTTTGTCTGTGTTTGTGTAGCCGGTTCATCCTCCACATCCCCAGCGAGGAGCGGGACAACGCTATTCGTGTGTGCTTTCAGATTGAACTGGCTCACTGGTTTTATCTGGACTTTTGCATTCAAAACACTCCAGGAGCACCTCAGTGTGGAATCAGAGACTTCGCCAAAGCTGATATCCTTTCATGTGGTGTCTGTTCAACCAGCTCTCAAGACATTTCTAGTCATTTTAGTACAACCTTTGTGCAGATGTGTTCTCTTGGCTCTTTTAGAGTTTGAAAAATTGCAGGACAAACCTAATGCAGGAAGTCCTCATGGCCATAGGTAATATTCTTCTTGACAACTGTAAACTTTTTCAGCATTGTCCATTTCTGCTGCCACATGGAGAGGATGTGCAGAAAGTTCTGGAGGAATGGAAGGAGTACAAGATGGGTGTACCCACATATGGAGCAATCATTCTAGATGAATCACTGGAGAATGTGAGTTTATGTTGAATGTAGATATAAATCACATCAAGAAGTTACTTTAGTTCGGCTGTTGTCAGTCTGTCATTTCTTACTTAATAGCTAAAAACATTGCAGGCTCACTTTAAAAAGCTTATCAATCAATTAAGTTTATTTGTATTGCACATTTCGGCAACAAGACATTTCAAAGTGCTTTATATCATAAAAACACAAAAATAGGTAGCATTCTCCTTGGCAGCTGTAAACGTTTGACTGTTTAATGATTCATTGATTATGTTTCAAAAGCAACTCTAAACAGGCAGGTTTTCAGTCTAAATTTAAAGGAACTCAGTATTTCAGCTGTTGTGCAGTTTTCTGGAAGTTTATTCCAGAAAACTGGAATAAACTGGTGCATAGAAGCTGAATGCTGCTTCTCCATGTTTGGCTTGGGCACAGTGGTACCTATGAACTGAATTAGTTTTATTTTTCTTTATTTTTAACTAGATAACATGGACATTAATGTGCTGAGCATAATACAAACTATCACCTTTCAAACTACAGTCACATTATTCTTGAAAAAAAAAACAGCAATAGAGATACTCAAATATTTAGGAAAAAACATTAAATAATGCAAAGCCTCATTGAAATAACGTACAAACTTTGCATAGTGAGATGAAGGGTAATGGCACTGAATTGAATAAATTGTCATTTCTGAATGAAATATTCTCCACATAGAATAAACCTGTTTATCAAACATTCTTATTTTCACTATTTAGCCCAAACAATGTATTGTTGTGCAATGATACAAATATGCTTAGATTAATTCATTGATTAAATCAATGGATTCAGCGTTTCTCATGGCCATGAAAGTGTGTGTGTGACATGTAACTATTACAGTTTTTCCTTTCAGGCGCTGCTTGTTCAGGGCTACCTGGCCAAGTCCGGCTGGGGATTCCCAAAGGGGAAAGTGAATGAGGATGAAGCTCCTCATGACTGTGCAGTACGTGAAGTGAGTCTTCCAGGTCTTGTTGGCTGAGTCAATGCAGTATAACTGTCTCTGATGTGTGCTTCAAGCAGAACATCTAACTGCTCTGCAGGTGCTGGAGGAGACAGGTTTTGATATCAAGAACCGCATCTGCAAAGACGTGTACATTGAGCAGAAGATAACTGATCAGTTGGTACGACTCTATATCATCCCAGGAGTATCCAAGGATACAAAGTTCAACCCCAAAACACGAAAAGAGATCAGGGTAGAGAAACTTTTCAACATTTGGAAGTGCTTGTATTCTGCTGTTAAGACATATTTCTTCCAAACAAATCTTGTTTTCTTTTCTTCCAGAACATTGAATGGTTTCCTATCGAGAAGCTACCCTGCCACAGGAATGATATGACCCCAAAGTCTAAACTGGGACTAGCGCCTAATCGGTTTTTCATGGCCATTCCATTCA